AGTGCTGCACTTGCCGCCAGCCATGAGCCCAGCTTCCGGCTGAGCGCTCTCCCTGCGGGAGCGCACTGTCCACCAGGAGGCAGCTTCTGCGTGCATCATAGTGATTGGTTGTTCCACAGTTTGGTCAATTTGCAGAGCACAAAATTTATGTGTGGGTTCAGACCCTAAGCCTGGCCTGCAATCAGGGCCATCTTCCCCAGCTGCCCTCAACTGCTCCTCCCCTCCCTACCCCCCCATCCCTGCCACCACCCACTCCTGGTTTCCCATTCGCCATCTGGTGATTGGAACCTGACCGCAGGGGGAAGGGACCAAGAGGTCAGCTGTTCCTGTCTGCTTGCCAGCCCTTGCCCTGCTGCAGGTTGCCCTCTGTGTGGGGGGCAACTGGTGGGGCAGAGGCCTTGACCTGGCACCACCCACATCCCCCACAACCCATCCCCAGTTTCCCATTCCACAGTGGGCAATCGGAGCCTGCCAGCCAGGGAAAGGGACTAAGGGATGGTCAATGCACCTCACAGTGACTGGTCAAGTGGTTGTTCTGGTTGTTCCATCATTAGGGTCAATTTGCATATTACCCTTTTATTATATAGGATTGTAGGTTATATTCTACTAAATTTTGGACACCACGAAAATAAAAGTTATTATTCATTTTTGTGTCCCACATGACTAGCAATAATAAGTGACCAATAACTATTTATAGAATGTTTAAATGTCTTTACATTTTCCCAGAAACAGAACTTCCTCTATAAACATCCCCCAATAGATGTAGAGCAAAGCAGCCATTTAAGAAAAAGCACAGAAGCCAGTTAAGAAAGCAATAGACACAAACAAATGGGACAGAAAGAGAAAATGAAACACATGGAGTCTCTCCAGAGCAGCTCCTGGGAGCTCACTGTTTCCTACTCTGTCTCATCCTATCACAAATATGTTTTACTTGCTATTTAATTTTCAATGCCTATTATGACTTCCCAGAAAGTTAAGTTCTTCTCTCCACAACTGGGTGGGCACAGGGAGAAAAAAGGAACGCACTGTCTAAATCAGCTATACTCCAAAACTGAGCTAGTTAACACTTTAAATGCCATAATAAAAAAGACCCCCGAGCTACCCAGCCCCAACTCCACTTCCAATAGTTGCCTCCTACAAGACTTGAGAGTAAGATTACAATAGATATTTTACCAACCAGTTATCAAACGTTCTCCCTAACAGAATCTCAACATCTCATCCTGAATTTACAATCTTTCTCTTGAGGTAAAGAATTCTATAAAATCACTATTTACTCTGTAAATATGCATTTACAGTTTTATCCTAAAGATAAAAGGAAACAGCTTTCTCCTGCCTATCCCAAATGGTTCTTGAACAAAAACTTCCCAGCTGAATTCCCTCTTATATTGGCCACAGTTGTCCGTGACGACAAATCCAACGGAATACAAAACTCTCCTCCTAATACTGTGGCCTCTAATATTCCCAAACCTTCCCCTTTCTTTTTCCCCAGTGGTACCCAACTTTGCCCGTTAAGTAAAACACATTCAGAATCCATTAAATTCATAGGTAGTTTCAGAAGTGTGTGAGAGAATCCCAGAGACCAATTCCATGTAGCACAGTAAGTCCACAACTGGGCCACTCTCAACTAGCATGACATAAACATAGGCATCAAGCTTGTAAGATTCAGATAACATGTACCAAGTTTATAATCATAATTAATTATGTCACTCTCAATTAGCTTGATATAAACGTAAGCATCAAGCTTGTAATAATACTCAGATAATGTACCAAGTTTATAATCATCATTTACCAAAAGCAACAGAAGTCTATCCCATAACTAGTATCACCAATATGATAATCATAAATCAGATGTTCTGAAGAACACAGGGGAAAACAGCTTAGAAGGCCGAACGAGGAATATGTTCCTCGTACTGCTGCCCTAGCCAGGTTTTTCTCCCCTCCAAGTCTTTAGAATCTTCTCTAGCCTCATCCTTGGGGAAAAAAAAAAAGGGGGCTCTCTTGGTAGAATCCACCCTACTTATTCTAATCCCACACTTAGACTGAGGTGCCTTGTAATTGTGAGAGTTATTATTTTATCCAAATAAATAATTAGATTTAACTTACCTTTACCCAATTGCTAACGATAGGATTCTAGCCCCATGGAAAACATTTTTGTTCATTTTTTTTAAGTAAAAATGCTAGATCAAAAATAGGGAAGGAGGGACGGTGCTTCCCTGTAAACACATTTCCAATTAATAAATTCAGAATAAATGAGAGAAACAAAGTCACATTGGAACACAATGACAAGATCCATTAGTGAATGCTGAAATTAGTTGGCCAAATTTAAGGAGAAGAAACAGGATTATCTGTACAGCCTCAAAGTATCTCCCCCCAAATATGTATTAATTTAAAAAAGGAAAACAGCAACTGCATAGTGGAGAAACTTGCACATATCACCTTAATCAAATGATCACAGTTAGCATCACCAGTAATAAGTAATGGACATAATGTGCCCTCTGACCTAATGCATTGAGAAGGCAGGTCGTCCTGGTGGGACCCTTCCCAATAATGCACATAACCAATCTAATCAATGGAACACATCAGACAAACCCAAATTGAAAAGCATTCTACAAAACTTTTCAAAAAAGTTATGAAAGGTAAGAAGAGATTGAGGAACTATCATGGACTAGAAGAAATTAAGGAGATAGGATAACTAAATACAATGTAGGATCCTGGAACACATTTAGAACATTAGTGGAAATATGGACAAAATGTGAATAAAGATTGTAGTTAACAGTACTGTAGCAATGTTAATTTCTTAGTTTCAATTATTAGTTGTATAAAATGTTAACTCAAGGGGAAGCTGAGTGTAAGACGAATTCTGCACTGTCTTTATAACTTCTGCAAGTCTAAAATAATTTCCAAGAGAGTTAAGGAGGAGATAAAAATCCACAGGAAAAACTGAATTCCTAATACCAAGCCACCTAGGCTGAGCAGCACATGTTATACTTACCCAGTGTTTTTAATGCCTCAGTCCCTCCTCCAGCTTACTCCCAATTTATACCGAATTCCTATTCCTTCCCAAAGAGCTTCCAAGTTCTTATACTTTAGGACCTCTCCAAATATCTTTACTTCTTCCCAACGCAGAGCTAGACTCTCCCCTTGTCCTGCCTCAAATTGGCCTGGCTTGAAAGATGTGAGTTAAAAACCTTATCTTACATTGCCATTAAGAATTTACAAAGTGCTTTTAAAAACATTTACATGCAAAAATTTAGAGGTGTATATTGCAATTACTGTTATTTCACAGACAAGGAAATAAGACAAGAAAAATGAAGTGATCTGACATATTTAATAAAAGCCAGAACCTGAATCTGAATCCAGTTCTGGCTCCAAGACCAAGTTACCATCTTAAAAGATACTAGTCTGCATATAAGAACATTCAACTTCCCTGACTCCAGGCAGGTTACTGACATCTAATACCTATGATATTTAGGAAAGTTCTAAATTCCATCTTTGTCCTAAATACCTCTCTTGCAAGCCTCGAAGACTCCACAATCACGAATTCTGGGATTCAGTAAAAAGGCTGTGTGTTTATCCCACCAACCTTTATGATTTAAAAAAAAAAAAAAACAGATTTCAGCCGAGACCGGTTTGGCTCAGTGGATAGAGCGTTGGCCTGCGGAATGAAAGGTCCCAGATTCGATTCCTGTCAAGGGCATGTACCTTGGTTGCGGGCACATCCCCAGTAGGGGATGTGCAAGAGGCAGCTGATCGATGATTCTCTCTCATCGATGTTTCTGACTCTCTATCCCTCTCTCAACCTCTCTGTGAAAAATCAATAAAATATATTAAAAAAAAACAAAAAAAAAAACAAAAAAAAAAAAACAGACTTCAGTCATCTCCTCAACCATCAACATTTTAGGCTGAAGAATCGCTCACCTCTGTTCTACAAACACTGCTTCATGCATTCAGATACATGAGATGTCGCTGGAATCTCCAATTCCACTCACTTCTTGATATTTACAAATCAGAACTAGGGGCAATCCTAGAGGATCCTGAACCCCACCCAATACTCTGAATATCCTTTCCCTTCATTAAAAAAAAAAAAAAAAAAAAGTGGGGGAGTCAACAGGTTAACTCCTAATACATGTGTCTGCTTGCATATAAGTACAACCAATGGACACAAAACTCTGGGGAGGGAGGACATGTATGAGAGGGGGGGAGCAATGGTATATGTACACAGATAAAAATTTAATAAAACGAAACAAAATAAATGTAATGCAATTAAATGTAATGCAAAGTGTGGCAGGGCAACGTGACCCGAGACTCAGGAGAAACCAGCTTTCACCTGACTTCATCGACCAGCCTTTTTCCCCAGGCTTTCCTGATTTCTCTATCAGTCAACTGAGTACATTATTAAGGTGCACTGAGGTTTTAAAAAAAAAAAAAGTCATTATGGAAACAAGCCTCTAAGTTTGCAAACTTAAGAGGTACTGACAAAACCATTCGTTTACTCACAGGCGCTTGCTCGGTGGGGGACTTCAGCTCCCCGAACACCTGACGGTGATTGATTCCCTTTTGTAACCTCCCTTCCCACCCCAGCGGCGCCCGCACACACTTCAGTCACCTCTTCAGAGAACATTCAACTTCCCTGACTCCAGGCAGGCTGCTGACATCTAACACCCACTGTTTTTAATGTCTCGCTGTTTTAAATTTAGGAAAGTCCTAAATACCCATATTTAGGAGCTCGCTCGGCCCCAATGAACTGCAGACGCCGGGGTCCGGCACCTGGTCCGGCGAGGATCGGGAGGGAGAAACGGGCGGGCTGGGGATGCCACTTGGGGGATAACTTTGGAACAGCTTTGCGCCTTTTGAACAGTGTAACGCAGGCGGAACAGGCTGCGGGAAAGTCAGGTGGGCCAGGCGGCCTTCCACGGGAACAAACCGGGACCCCTGGGGGTGTGGGGGGCAGAGGGGGGGACGCTGGAGGTGGAGGGCGGAGAAAAGGGGGCAGCACTTGCCTCCCATTCCTGCAAGAACCGCTGGGCCTCGTCCGCACCCACCGCCTTATGTCGCCTGAACTCGTCCTTCACGTACTGGTCGCCCAGGGCTTTGAGGTCGGGGGGCAGCGCGCGGTGCAGCAGCAGGAGGCGCCGGTACAGCGCCCGCACCCGGGCGACGTGCGCCGCCCGCATCGCGCCGCGCGTGGGCCTCCTCCGGCCGCAGACCGCGCCTGCGCACTGGGACCCGGGAGCCCCGAGCCCGGCGCCGGGCGGAAGTGGGCGTGCGACCTCCTTCCCGGGTTGGTCCGCCCTCAAATCAGGACCTTCCGGAAACGGAGCTACGACGGCGGGCGGGGCCCTGGGGCAGCGGCCGGTTGCTGGTCTGGGCGGGGCGTGGAGTCGGGTCGGAGCCGCCGAAAGGGCAACGTCCGGATGAGAGAAGACGCCAACTACACAATCGGCCTGAGCCAGTGGTCACTCCACAGCCACACCCCATCATCCTTTACACTCATCTTCCTCTCTGCTCCCCTGAGAAAGGCCTGAGAAAGCCTTCTCCGAAGTCAGCCTCCTCCAGGAAGCCTGCCATGCTTACCTCGATGCCAGAGGGATTCCAGTGGGTTTGATCTGTCCATCCAGGAGCCTACCAACCCTCATACTCTACACAGTGCTGGGCTCTTCATTTATCTCCTGAAGCTGTGACCTCTTTCAAGTAATTCAACTGAGCCCGAGCCAGTTTCATTACCTGAAGTCAAATTGGCTGTGCACCAACAAAACAAAACAAACAAACAACAACAAAAAAAACATTGGGAGTCATTTTAAAAGAATTGTTTCCAGGGCCAGGAGGCTGGAGATTCTGATTAGTCTGAGATGCAAAAGTCGAATCAGGACGTTTACAAATGTCCACCTTGTGCAGAGGTGATGCTGAGGGTGTGGTGGGTTTCCAAAGCTGACAGCGACCCGGCCTAGTTCTGTCCGGTTACACCTTTGGTCCTTCAGCAAACCCTGATGGTTCCACCCACAAAATGGGCAGAATTCGCCCATTCCCACCAATTCCTGCTCCACCATGGTCTCTTTAATTGGACAATGCGGTGGCTCCTTGGATTCCAGCTTCTGGCCATAATCAACCCCGGTCATTTTTCCACCTAAACTGTAAATCAGATGTCACTCCTCTGCTCAACAAAACCCTCCAGTGGTTTCTCATCAGAGTAAAAGCCAAAGTCTCTCCACTCTTAGCTCTCTAAAGTTTCTCTTACTGTGTTGTCCCTAGTTGGCCAGTGACAGCCACACGGACCTTCTAGTTCCCAGTTCATCTTTGAACTGCCTGGACACGCTCCCAACTGAGGGCCTTGATACGTGCTGTTCCCTCTCATTACCCCCTTCTGATGACATCCTCCCTGGCAAGTGCATTTGAAATTGCCACATGCCAAGACTCCCTTACTCCCTTCTCTGCTTTATTTCACTCCGTAGCACTTACATATTTTACTTGTTTATTATCTGTTTTCCCCACCACGACCCTAGAAGAAAAACCCCACTAGGTCAGAGATTTTGTGACTTTTAAGAGGATCTGGTGACTCATGACCTGTTGGTGATAAAGGGGCACAAGTGTAGGAATCACCGAGATTCCCTCCCAGACCCCAGACTTGCCTGTGCAAACTTTTTGAAAGACAAAGACAGGTATCCCACTACCAAAGGCAGCGACTTACTCATTTTATATTATCCTATTCAGGGCTTACCACAGTGCCTTACAAAGAGTAAGCACTCTTAATATTTATTACCTTGAATGGACTTTTTCATTTTGCTAAAATTTAGGAAAAATATTTATTTAAAAGGACACAGACCTTTTTAAAAAAATGAATTTAAATTGGTATTATGACAAACCACATGAAGGACAAGGATTGACCAGCAGTGTGGTATTTACTTCAGGAAATTTTTTTCTAACCATACTTCATCTCTTAATATCCCTGTAAATTAAAAATTAATTTCTTGTTCCAGTTTGCTTTTTTCTGGTTTCCTTTGGGGTTAAAGTACATGTATAATAAATACTTCTTTTAGAGCTAAGGTTCTTATAAAAATGTGGGAAAAAACATTCTGCCAATGAATTAATAAAAAAAAAAAAAGTAACAATAAAAAGAAGTAATTCAACCTGAAAGGAGAAAAGATCCACAGAGCACTGGGCAGCTGGTGCTCAGAAATGGCAAATGATGGGTGAGAGAGAAGCCAAGATGTAGTGGTGTGGTTATGCCTTAAGGTGAGAAATCAAGCAATAATGGCGAGAATAATTGTAGGTGACTTTTTTTTTTTTTCTTTCCAATGGGCTGGACAGCGAATATGTCTTGTAGACAAAACTTTCTCTTTGTTAAAACTCTCCATTGACCTCCCAGGTTAGGTTGACCACTTTTTTTTTTTAATATATTTTATTGATTTTGTACAGAGAGGAAGGGAGAGAGATAGTTAGAAATATCAATGAGAGAGAGTCATCGATCAGCTGCCTCTTGCACACCCCCTACTGGGGATATGCCTGTAACCAAGGTATATGCCCTTGACCGGAATCGAACCCGGGACCCTTCAGTCCCCAAGCCGACGCTCTATCCATTGAGCCAAACCGGATTCGGCTAGGTTGATCACTTTTTATCTTGTGGTCAAAATAGCCATGAACTGAAAAGAAATTCCTTGCCACACATCCAGATTGGTACACTCTGTGCAGGCCTTTCCTTTATCCTTCCTTCACATGTTTCCTTTTCCCTTGTGTTATTTGACAGGTCACTCAACCACGCTGTGCCTGGGTTTTCTCACATGTCAAAGAGCTGGATTAGGTCATTCTCACTGCCTTCCAATTTTACTAGTCTAATCATGATTTCTCCCAGATTCCCTTCAAAATGTTCTGTAAAAGTAGAAACGGATAGGCAACCACTTTGAAATGAGTGCTTAGAAAAGATTTTATTTAAAAAGAAAGGGGGAACCTTTCACAGCTTGATATGGAGCACTCAGGAACGAAAAGGTCACTAGTTCAATTTCCGGTCAGGGCACATGCCCAGGTTGTGGACTTGATCCCCAGTGGGGTGTGCAGGAGGCAGTTAACCAATGATTCTCTCTCATCATTTATGTTTCTAACTCTCCCTCTTCCTTCCTCTATGAATTCAATAAAAATATATACATTTAAAAAAAGACCTTTGGATTCTGGGTAAAGTACCCAACCTATTAAGGCACAAAGTTAAAAACTGACTGCTAAACAGCCAATACTTCAACACTAAAGAGTTCCTGTAACAATGAGAAAGATTTTTCTATAGCTGACACTCTTTTAAATCATAAAAGTAAAAGTGTTCTCTGAGGAAGAGAATGTAAAAGTGAAAATAGGAATGACGTAATTCTGGGTTATATTCACATCTATGAAGCGGAAGGTGATTCATAACTGGGGGGCTGTCTTGAAGGGCTCTCTCCAGAATCATCTCACTTCCTGCATCACATCCACTGCAGCACAATGTTCCTCTGAGGTAATGGCTTAAGCTTTCCAAATAACAAACATTCTGAACACAGCTTATGTATATGAAGTGGGCGTTCTTAATAAAGATCCATAAACTATCTTCATCTTTATCTTCTTTCTTCCTAACCTCCTGCAACCAAGCCCTCCCCTAGAACTCTTGATTATATCCCAACTCTTCTGAGAGGTGCTTTCATAATGGTCCCCTCACTTTTTTTCTCTCACTGGCACCTCCGGTTATTCTCTTCAAGATATTATTCCATTCAGTTCATAAACATTTACAAGACTTGCTGGAACCAGTTTGGCTCAGTGGATAGAGCATCGGCCTGCGGACTGAAAGGTCCCGGGTTCGATTCCAGTCAAGGGCATGTACCTTAGTTGCGGGCACATCCCCAGTGGGGGCTGTGCAGGAGGCAGCTGGTCAATGTTTCTCACCTATGTTTCTAGCTCTCTATCCCTCTCCCTTCCTCTCTGTAAAAAATCAATAAAATATATATATTTTTAAAAAGAATAATTCACAATGGGGGCGGGGGGGATCCCTCCACCTATTCTGCCTCCCCTCAAACTACCTTCCTATCACTATGCTTCCTTCATTGACAGTCTTTTAAAAAAAAAATAATGCATCTCTTCATCTCCATTCTCATTCCCACTTGATCTCTTTTAATCTATCATTGTCCTCAGTACTTCTCTAAAATCACTGTCTTCAAAGTCACTAGTCACTTGCTTCTGCTCATACACCTACCTTCTCCAGATCTACTAGAAATCTTTCCGGGTTTGTCGTCCAGGTGGCCTGACCTCTAGGGTCCCCTGACATCCGTATCCTTAGCTGCCTTTAATTCTTCCCGCCCCCAAATGTGAACGTATCCAAAGGCTCAGTCCAAAAAAGTAGCTCTCTGTCCCTGTCCCTGTCCTGGCTCGTTGTCCTCAACCATTGGTGATGCTCTGCTGCCCCCACCTGGTCAAGTCCATTCTAATCACCTCAGAGGCACGTCCCTGGAAAAGTGCCAAGACATCTTACCAAATCTCACACATACTCCTGGCCTCTCTAAAGTTATCTAAGTACTGGATATGTTCAGAGTGATGTCCTAAATCCCTTCAGAGTCTATGTTCTACCTTAAACTCCTCATTTTTCTCTCAAGAACTTCTCTCTCCACCATTCTTCAATTTACCTGGACTCAGGATTCAGGAGGCACTTACAATATCTTCCATTCTCTTCATGTATCTTGTTATTGAGGAATCCTTGTTGATACGTCTGTAAATTAGTCACTTTTCCCCATGTCATTGACCCACCTGCGAGACCCGTATCCCTTGTTTAAATGATTATAACAGCCTTCTCATTGGAATCCCTTTCTTCAAAACCTTCCAAAGCTTGTCCATGGTCTCCTGGGCATAGTCTGTTTCCCGAGTCTATAAAATTGTATGAAAAATTATATTACAACTAAAGGCAAGACTTGCAGCTAGTATTAACTTACTTTTTTACTACATTATAAGTATGAGAGTCTATTTTCATTGTAAGTTTATTATACACTTTTTTAATTAAAGGGGGAAATCTAAATGGTGCATTCAGACAATGATATTAACTTCATAATGCCATTATACTTTTAACCCACATAAAGCAAAACAAGTAAATATGTAAACAAATGCAAAAAAATAATTGGTAAGGGAAGCCATTCTTCCCCCACCCCAAATTAGAATGAGTTTCATGCTCACAAAT